TACAGCCACCGACAGTGTACAACAACATACAGCCATCCACAATGTTCAACAGTATACAGCCACTGACAGTGTACAACATACAGCCATCCACAGCGTTCAACAGTATACAGCCACCGACAGTGTACAACAACATACAGCCATCCACAATGTTCAACAGTATACAGCCACCGACAGTGTACAACAACATACAGCCATCCACAATGTTCAACAGTATACAGCCACCGACAGTGTACAACAACATACAGCCATCCACAGTGTTCAACAGTATACAGCCACCGACAGTGTACAACAACATACAGCCATCCACAGTGTTCAAGTACAGCCTAGCTGCTGACCGCTATACAACACATTAGCTATTTCAAAACACTCAAGTCGTGTGGCAAAAAAACAGAGGTGAATTGCTGGGATAGGTTATAAACCAAGAAAATACGGCACATGTAGCGCAATGCGAAGTCACGAGTATTTGTTATATTCAATTGTACTTTGTGGTACATCAATAGAACTTTCCCCTTTCGGCAAGTTCAGGTTTATGCTAATGTAAATGTTCTCAGGGAATTTTCAGGTGTAAATAACCCATTTAAAAATAAGTACTTAACACAGTCGTTATTAGTACATTACATCTATCTATCTATCTATTGATCTATCTACAATAGCTATCAAACAATTCATCCATCCATCGTAGTCTCTCTGATGTCTCACAGTTCATGTTACTCTGTGAGCTGTAAGAGAAATGCCTCGTATAACTAACAGCACAATGTTCTGATAATGCCTCATGTGAGTCAGTCAAATTCTTTTGTGCCACATCACTCTGGAACATCCCACGTCATACGTGACATTTTGGGGATTGTCAATCTGGAGCCGAAAGGCAACCAGCCGCCCAGTGGTTCATTGTGAGACGAATTGCTGTCTCTTTGCCATCTTTAGCTGGCTGGTCCCACACAAGCAGCTAGGCGCCCCACATGCACGGCAGAAAGTTTTCGACGATGTGGTATGATGCATGGATGAGGTATGATTCAGGATTATCGACACACAGGGCCATCTCAGTTAAGTACAGGTTGGTGCAGTTAAGTAACTTCAGACCATTAACTCACGAAAATCCCTCCTTCAAATAGGACAAATACGAGGACTCATTTCATGCTACCTGTGAGGATCACACCCTTGAGGCATTCACGCTGCCCACAATGCTAACGGAGAAGCCGCTTTTACCACGGTACTTGTAGGAAAAAATGGAGGGAGCTTCAAATCTTCCACCAGCAAAACAGTCGGTACTGCATCAAACAGACTATTATCATGATATCAAAGAGTAAGAAACATTTTTGTCAAACTAATCATTGCTTCAGTAAGGAAATTGACATTTGCTACTTTTGTAGGACAGCTCAAAGAGTGATGTGGGGAGCTTCTAGGTTGCCTACATATTTCTACGGGTCTTTCACTGGGTATTTGTGGTACTTAATGCTCCTCAACTGTGCCCCCGCATCAGCTAACCGGGTACAGAAAGTGGACGTCTAGCTCTGCAGGACAGAACCACCCGGCGACAGACCCAGTCACCTGAAAGCTCGACCCAAATACTCACTATTAAGAGACAGACTTCAGCGATTTCCCAGCAGCACCAACTGAACTGTGCGCTAAGCACTGCACTGGAAGACGCCTGCTGTGTCTGTGGGCCTTGACCAGCGTCCAGGAGCTGCATTCTTTCATCTTCAGGAAACACATCTTGCTGGAGGAAAATCTCAGGAATAAACCCCAATGCCCAGCACACTCACACTGACCTCGATTTCATTCAATACTTCATGATCACACTGAACACAAATCTCTGTGACTACTGTTCTCAATGTCCATTTGAAGTCTGTTTTAAATCGTTATGGATATCCATCCCCCCATTCACCCATCCATCCATCCATCCATCCATCCATCCTCTAACTGCTTATCCTGGATCGGACCATGGGTTCCCTGCATGGAACCTATTACATGGAGCATTGGGCATGAGGCTGGGACAAAGGAAAGTCTCAAATTTTATTTTTTACATCTACAAACATGCACATGTGTGTCATGAAATGCTTTGTCCACCTGCTTCCAGGATTGTGCTCAAAAGGGCAGTACTAAGAAAAATAATATGAAAAGAAAAATAATAAATAAATAAACATGATTAAAAATAACAATAAAAATAAAACAAAACTATACAAATGAAAAGCCATGTACCAGTAACTGTATTTGCATAAGGCAGTGATCAGGAAGAGGTAGGGCTGGGCTGGCCATCTGGTATTTTCCCAGTAGACCGATGGGTACGGGCCGGCAAAATTGACTGTAGGGGACCCTAAAGTCTAGGGCTGATTTATAATTCCAGTCCGGCGCAGGGAAGACGTAAAATGAAAAGTGAGGAATACGCTGGAATGAAGGTGGCTGACGGTGAAATGAGGAAAAGCAGACAGAGTGGAGGGGCTACATGCTGCAGATGGAGCAGTGCCGGACGGGGCCCATGTGCAGCGCTAGGTGGGCGTCACCCCAACCCAGGTGACGCCCCACGTCACGCAGCTGTTCCGCACCAGCACACACAGGGGGCGCCTGTACTTCAAGGGGCGTGAGGAGCACGTCGAGCGCCGCGCGGGGAACGCTCTGAGACTAAGCGAATTTCGCCTGAAGTCGACGCCCCCTCAGAATACGGAGCCTTAGTCGGCTACCCGTGTCGCCTAATGACAGAGAAACACAAAACAGAAGGAACATTCAAATTTTATATGTCGCTTAATGTGTTTCCCTAATTTTCATGTTCTGGTGATAAAGTAATATAAGTTATGACTAAAAAGTAATACATGTAATAAAACTGGGGCCTTGCCTTAATTTGGCAGCCTATGAAAAGATGATTAAATTAATGCATAGAGTTATTGAGTCATTTACTGCAGCATAATGTCTGGAGATGTAAAACGGATGAGGAATTGGAGAAAAAAGGGGCTTCGAAGAAAAAGGAGGAGAAGTCAGGATTGTGATCGCGCCACACAAAATGTCTCCCGCCTTGTGTTCTGTGTTTCCTGGGTTCCCGGATCCCAGTGACCCAGCACTGGTTATGGATGGATGGATGGATGGATGGATGGAGCATACTAAAAATGCATATTCTCTCCAGCTGCTTTTAAACATGTGTTACCTGGCAACCACAACCATGGACAGAGGAGGGGCCAGCTAACGGCTAACTGTATATGTAAGTGTAAAAATTTCACTTTGATATTTAACTCTTTTAATGCTGAAACATTGTTCAACTGCTTGGCTGATGCCTTTATTTTGTGCAAAAACGGCAGCATTGGGGCCAGACAGGCTTGTAAAGCTGGAATTTTTGCTTTAAGCTACAGGTAAAGAGCAGCACTTTGACCCGGTTCTCCAGTATGGGCACTACTGAGCCAGCAGCCTCTAGGTGGATGGATGGACAACAGTGAGCTTTTCATAGTAACTGAACAGGAAATGGCTGACGCAGATACACTTCTGCTTCTGCAGTTCTGCTTCGGTTATCAACAGTAAACTGTACCGGTACAAGTACAAAGTGCAAGCGGATTAAATTTTAGATAGGAAGAACGGAAACTGGCCTCTCTGGTCCTTCACACAGAACACAGCCAGTGTTTTTACCTTATTTGATACTTCCTGTCGACTGAGGTGCAAAGCTGAAGCGTATCTATGTGGAGAGGCTCCCTTCGGAGATCGGAGGCCAGGTGGGCGATGCTGAGGAAAGCTCCAGAGCGAGACCCTGCAACCAGGCGGAAGAACATTCAGCTCTTTCTGGGAAAAGGCTACTGGCTGCTCTTTCGCACAGCTGACAACTGAAAACCACGCAGCGCTTCAACGACTTAAAAATATACCTTGTTTTACGCTCAGGGCGGGCAATAAATGTATCTGTTTATATAACTGGCCATTCAGGATTCAGGAAATAGTTTAGTTCTGTATTTCCCACTGCAACCTCACACCTCCAGGGTTGAGGTTCGAGTCCCACCTCTGGCCCGTAGTGGGTGGACTTCCTCCCAGTGTTTCTGTGCATTTCCTCCGGGTCCTCAGGTTACCTCCCACAGTCGTCCCTAAACTACCTGTTTGAGCATGTGCCCTACGATGGACTGCCGTCTGCTCCAGGGTATACAGTGCCATGGGGCCCCAGGTTCGAGCTCGAGGCTCACTGTGGCTCTACTGGCTAAGCTTGCAGCTCCAAAGCATACTATCATGCATAGATACAGTACACACTGCATTGATGGTTGAGTGGTACACTTCCAGTGAAGTTCAGTATGTAGGCTATGGTATGCAGGTTCTGACCTTTACCACACAGAGAATGTTCCAGGGCCAACACGGCACCTCAAAAAGGCTCCTGCGAATGTCACTTATTGATTATTGGTGGCTTGCAATGTTCATCTTGGTAGCTCAGCTTGATTGGGGAATATCAGTCCAATTGCTACCAATGTTCATTTTTAAGCTAGCTAAGATGTTTTGAATAGTATCCTAAAACAGTAAAACGATCTAAACAAATCTAAGTAAACTGCGTCACAAGGCAGCTGAAAACAGAGAAAATGTCAAAACAAGAGAAAAATAAAAGATGAACATCGAGAATTTAGAGGCATTTAAATTCACAGCTGCTTCATCACGTTTTCCCATGGGCTTAATATTCTAGGAGAATGGCAGGGTATAAATTATAATGTTGATGTTGTGCCGATATATTGTATGATGAGATACTGGGGTTGCCTAAAACGTAACATGCCTGCTTGACCACAGCTGCAAATGTAAAATATGTTAATTGCCTGTTCAGTGTGATTTTTGTGCCTGCATATCTTTCGTCTGGTCGGTACAAAGGCAAACTTTCATTGCTCAGATGCCTTCAGAGTTTAGCACAGTTGCTGCCAATTTTGTGGCGTCTCAGGAGATTAAAACACACAGAAAGCCTTTCTGCGGTGCTGAATATGTTAAAGAGTGTTTTATCAAAATAATGGAACACCTGTTCAAAAATGAAAATGATATAAATAAATAAAATCAGGGACACGTCATCTTCGTTCTGAAGTCCATGAAACACTGATAATAATTTGTTTGTTTATACCTTGCTCTAGTGCAGTGGTTCCCAACCCAGTCCTCAGGGACCCCAGACAGTCCACATTTTTACTCCCTCCCAGCCTCCAACACCAGTACCAGGCATACCAGCCCCTTGTTCTTGATTGGCCGGGAGCTGGGAGGGAGCAAAAATTTGAACTGTCTGTGGTCTCTGAGGACTGGGTTGGGAACCACTGCTCTAGTGTGTCAAAATGTTGCTATAAACCGTTTAAAATAAATTTCTGTTTCCAGTAAAATTCTGCGGCTCCAATGGTTTCAATTTCTTCTAAATTCTGAATGTAGCTCTTCTCAATCGGGTCGCCGACCCCTAGGCTGAGCCATTATAGAAGGCGGATAAACAGAACCCAGGAAATTACTTTCCTAAAGGTACAGTAGTAAGACACCTTTTGGGACTCAAACCAACAACCTTCTGGATACATGTCAATGCCTATTGCCCATATTTATCACCCTGTCAGTGCTTTAACTGACTGAGTTTATTGACATCAGTACTGGTCCTAACCTATGTGGCACACTAAGTGAGCATCATCACCGATGCCCCCCGTTTGAGGAAAAGTGAAATTGGCTGGCAAGTCGGCACCCCGTTAGAAGGTGGAGCTCCAGTCAGCCGACTTTGTCGCATATAGGATTGACCAGCCATGACTGACATGAACCAATAAGGAGACGCAATCGGTTGTTCTGATGGGAATAGTTTTATAAAATAAAATTAAAAATCACCAGCAGTGAAGCACTCCACTTCCCAGACTGGAGAATCAGATGAGATATTTTATTTTTCCCCAGATATAAGCTCATCACACGTTTCACACTAAAACACATGCCCATAGTAAAGTAACACAGGCAGCTTCTTCTGAGGTACTGAAGGCCACAATATATGGAACATTAGCGTTTATCATGAATGGTAATTTACTTTATATCATAAGGAGTCCATTCCTTATATATCAGGGATGGATCATCTGTAGAAGAAATATCACTTTACATCTCTTACCCCCCCAATGTCATCCACCTAACGCACCCGTCACTTCTGTTTACTGTTTACGTGGCGGTGAAATAATAACAAAAAAACTTTAACTAGTTAGTCCCCAATTAGCCTGCTGATGAGGAGACTTCCAATTACACAACTGGAAATGTGAAAATGACATGGTGTGTGACAATGTGGAATATAGCAGTTGAAGCAGACAGAGTCATCTAAGACACATGATTACACCTACATGAGGATGATTCTCACAACCACTGACATTATATAAGACTTCATACCAAAAAAAATTGAAAATAAAAGCTCCTAAATCCCTAGCGAGATAGCCTGTTAGCATTCTGACTGCATGTTTCGTAAACAGTCCCCCTTCCAGTCAGCCGGGTTAAGGCCAATTCTTTCACTGAGCCCCACTCGCCGTTCTTATCCACACGCCGTCCGCGTTTAATGACCTTTCACAATAATTGCATTCCGCCGTCTCTGAGGCAGTGGAGCCCAGAAGCAGTCATTACGTAATAGCAGTGGCGGCGGCCCATTAGCTTCAAACGCTGCACTCGCCAGCCCCCCCTACCAGCACATGTGACCGTGGCTCCCCCGAGTCCGACTCTCATGCAAACGCAATTATGCTAATTGACCTCCACTAGTATGCATAAATTTGACTTGTAAATTCCCGATTAAGACGCTTCCCCCCCCCACACACACATTCAGCTGAAAAAACATCCGTCGCAACAGAAACCTGTTTCTGCTGGGGCATGTTTGGTTTCGAGGATTTTTGGTAAAATCATAACGGCTGCCTCATTTTTTCCCAAGGAGTTCTGAGTGTCCTTCGGCCATCCAGCCCACTAGGCAACTTCATTGAAGAATTGGATTTGCTTCAGTCAGCCATTCCGAATAACTGCTTTGCGCTTATTATCCCCGGGGGCTTGAACATCCAGCTCGATAAACCCCCTGGCTTCCGTCTGCATTTGGCCTGACCCAGTTCGACACTCCTCCTTCTCATAAGGCTGAACTCAAACTAGACCTCATCCTTTGATGGAATCGTATTCCTGCCAACCTGCTGGTCACTCCAGTACATGTTTCTGCCCAGTTCTTTGTTTGGTCTCCCTTGTAAGCCCCCCCCCCCCACACCCTACCTTCAGTCCCTCCTCCTCGAGCCTCCTTCAATCGTCACCTTTGCACTCTCTCCCCCCATCTGCTCCTCTGCTTTGGTCTCCTCCTCCCTGCCATCACTTGAGGATTCCTCCTCTCTAGATGCTGAAGGAACCTGCGATACACTCGGTTCTGTGCTAACCTCACGTCTTGTCGTCTGATATTCAGTCAGCCCCAGCGTTCTTATGTCACACCCCTACTTGTCTCTCTTCACTGGCTCCCAAGTTTAAATCCTTGGTGCTGGCTTACAGGTCCATCAAGGGACCGGTAACCATCCCCATCAAAAAGCCCCCCACGCCCCATGTCCCATCTCGCCCCCTTCAGTCAGCAAACCAATGCCGTTTGGATTTCCCTCCACCATGTGAGAAGTGTCACTCCAGATGGTTCTCTTGTGTGCTTCCCCGGTGGTGGAAAGAGACCCATCTGTTCCATGAATTCCATTGTAAGCTCAGCCTAGCCGCACTCATGCCTAGTTGACTCCTTGACAGAATGAATGTTTGCAACGTGCTATTTGCCTCACTTGTATGTCACTTGTATGTCACTTGTATGTCACTTTGGAGAAAGTGCCTGCTAAATATATAAATGTCTTTCAAGACGCAAATGAAACATCCATCGTGCCGAAGAAAGTATGGGTGCACGGATCCGCATTGCTGGCTCTGATTTCACTGCTACGGTGTTATTCTCCAAGTCAAATCACACCTTTGTGCCTCTATGTTATGTCCCACTTTCATTTCTGTAATAGTGTGCCGCACTGGAAAAAAAACAGGAACAGACAGCTACCCCCCCCTCCCCCCCAGTCTGATGTGAGGTAAACTATATACTTTAAATCTTTGTACTTTAACTCATATGGCACCATCACTGATATCACATGACCGCCCACACATGACGTCACATGACCTCCCACACATGACGTCACATGACCGCCCACACATGACGTCACATGACCTCCCACACATGAAAAAAACAGCTCTACAATAGTCTTGACAGCACGGACTTGACAGCAGATGACATCACGTCTCCGCTAACGTACATTAGCATGACTGTGAGCACCTACAGCATTCCCCTTCCAGTTCATTGTAGCTGCTCCAGCCCATGCCAGCACTCAGAACAAAATATGCCAAACCAGTTTTTGTTATGATGATTCTGAATCCACTGCTTCCAGCCGTCCTAAACAAACACAATTTAGGCATTGTTGATGCACACATTTCTGAAAAGGCCCGAGGAAACTCGTGGCTAAAAATACGGCATCTCGGCTGCGGGCAATTTCCTAAACCAGATTACAGCATGTCTCATCGAGGCTGGACAGCTGTGCCTGCAGTTGTCACATGTCACCTCTGATTAAGATGCTCTGCAACGTGGCGCCCCCTCAGGATGGCCGGTGCCGCCGCAACCTCACGCGCATTTTACCGCTGCGCGTTAGCTGACTCACAAGGCTCTTTTTCCCCTCCCACTTGGAGGTCAAAGGTCGCCCTGCCCAAAGGGCATCGTCGGACGGGAGTGCCCGATGGATTTTCAGATGGATTTACAGCATTTGTACTGAGCTTTGA